ACATACATATATATATATATATATATATATATATATATTATATATATTATATATATTATATATATTATATATATATATATAATATATATATATATAATTTAAATAAACAAGTATTTATTTTCGTCTTCTTGTGAAACTTTTATCTAATTACATAGACAATTCGAATGAATTCCATATAATCAAAAGAAATAGAAACCGTAATTTTTAAATAAGATCGAGTTGAAAGAACTGAAAAATTCGTGATATCAACCAATTTAATATACTTTGTCAGGAAAAAGCGATCGATTTCGTATAGTCCGGCAAAAGGACCAAAGCGATTACTTGACTCGACTCTTTCTTGACAATTTGTTGAAAAGACGGTAGGGATCGCATGGACGGAACATACACATGTTCCCTATCCCTTTTCTCCATTCCTTCGAGCGAGAGCATCTCTTCGAGATGTAATTGCTCGGTGGCATGATATCTTTGATACGCTACTCCATCTCTGAAGGTTTAATGTTATTCGAAATTCATTCCCGTAAGGTTTACTAACGGTAAGCACGTCATTCGGTGTCTCGCGGCAAAGATCGTACATTCAAATGTACCTAAGCTGTAGGTAGGTAGGTAGGTAGGTAGGTAGGTGGGTAGGTAGGTAGTTAGGTAGGTAACTAGGTAAGTACAACATGGATAGCTAGAAGAGCTAAAGGAGCTTGAAAGCACGATGTTCTTGTAGACTGTTGCAAAGAACAGCTTGTATTCAGGTACATACTACATAGAAACTGGGATATATCGTCGTTATTTAAGATCACCCGCTATAGCTATAAGAGATGCAGTGAGGATGTCGCCGAGAGCTTTTGAATTTAACGTGTTTGCTATTTTACACGCTAGTTATACATTTCATGTATAGTAAATCGTGTTTTCGGCTTTATATAATCTTAAGGTAATTACGATTGTAAAAGATAGTCGACGATGTTAATTTCCTATCGGTAAAGAAAAATTAAACTTAAAAGTAGACGTAGAATAGAATTATATATGTGTACGTATGTATGTATGTGTGTATTTATATATGTATATATTATATATATATGTTATGTATGTATGTATAAATATATCAAAGCGTTTTCCCTTTGGATTACGTTCTCGAAAGAGTTGTTTGAAAAGAGAGTGTTAAAGAGATGTACTTTCCTGATTGGTCGGTGAGAAACTGTCAACTGCAAAATCGTCCAACGATAAGTAACTACAGCACTGACTACTGATTTTACGAGACTCTCAATCTCTTTCTGTTATCGACGGCTCATAAATTTCGGCTTTGCGAACTCCATCCGGTAGAACTTTATAACGCGTGCCCGATGAAAAGGCGAAATCGATCAAGGAAAATAGGTTATAATGGACGATCCAAGTGTGATTCCTGGCGCGATCATAGAGAAAGCACTTTGGTGCTTTCGTTTCAGCAAACTCATTGTAATTAATGATTTCGATTCGAGCGATTAGAAGCATTAAACTCTTCGGGATAACTTAAACTCGATAAAAATGTCGTCTTGTGAATTTCTACGAAGAACAATAATGTCATATTTGAGTTATTCGCTCTTATAATATATGTATTATGTCGCAAATTTCCACATAGGAAAATTACGAAAGTTTCGGTATTAACATCCTCCTAGACGGTTCTTACGACGTTCGAATAACAGACGGTTTTGTATATACGTAACGAGAGTTATAAACAAGATGAATGTTGTTTGTTGTAGTACAAAAAAAACTAGAAATTGGAAACTTGTTTCTCAATGATAGCAGATGAGATATTATTTAGATCAAATCAAAGTGAATGTTCTATCTGAATGTATCTACATTATGGTTAAAAGTTTTATCGATTTGAAGTATTACTTTTAGAAAATAAGAATCATGATCATAGGAAAGTTAAATAAAGAGGAAAAGGTGAAAGAACAATGTAAATAAATCCAGGAAGGACAAGTCGATTATATCGGCTAGTCTTCTGAATAAATCGATGGCTATGAGCAGAGACTTATTTGTTTTCCAATTTCTATCTTCTAACGTTGGCGCATGTGTATGTCTATATACTATGTATATACATACGCGTACATACGTTTTACAGCATAGATAGAAAGAAGATCGTATTCCGTGCGTCTTCCTTGCGGCAATATCTTCGAATTGTTTCAGACATTACGTTTTCTCTTTCAACGTGGCATTTCGAGACATCGAGGAAAAGCCACGTTGTATTGGTTGCTCTCCATCTTGTTTTCCCTGATAAATAGCTAAACTAACATCTCTATTCTTTTCTCTTTTCTTCCCTTTTTCTTTTTTCTTCTTTTTGTTTCTTTCTTATCCTTCTTCTTTATCAGAACGATGTAATACGTGAATCGTTTTTGTATATTCGTGACGTAACCTATTTTTAATCTGGGTAAGAAAAAACGATAATTAGTCTTAGGTCGAAATAAATATTATACATAAAAACAAAAATCGTAGGAAAGCGTGCTCTTAAAAGTAAAGAAAAATAAACGTAATATTTTATCTGATATCGTATTTGAAAATAGAAGTATTCGATTAAAAGATCGATAATGATAAATTCGTTGGACAAGTATAATGTGTAGATTATTTTCTTCAATAATATTTATAATCTAGGTCGATAGTAAAATGATCGAATTTAGTATAAAAATGAAAAATGCATTAAATGACTTGTTTATTTAGTTAAACCATTCCGTTTTTTTATTCTGCAGATTATGAAATGAATGATTAATATTACGGTTAGTGAGCAATGAACGTTAATTCTGTTTATATCTGCTTAAAGATTAGGGGAGACAGAGACTGAGAACAAGATCGAGGAAGAGGGAAATGGAGTCCGTGTGATCATTAGCCGTTCTCTGAAGCCAATCGGGTACCGTAAACAAGCTATTTACTTAGCTTTCCACCCTGATTACGTATCACGTACGGTGATGTAACGTTTGCAGAAAATCTCTTTATAGAAATCGCACTCCGAGTCAACCAGTGTTCCGTAATCTTTTTACGCGCCGTTTAATCTCGTCCCTCATCAAATCCGATCTCCTACTATATAACGATGAAAGAAATTCTTCGATTTCGCCCATACTGTTAATTTTTCCTTTCGATCGATCGGTGAAAATGAAATATCAATGTTTATACTTTCTCGAACTTTAATTAGATAAATAACAGTGATAACTCGTTCGAAAGATTATTTTCTAAAATTCCGTAGACTTTACTCCTTAAATCCTTAAAGATAATTGAATTTCTCGACGCGACATGACACAAGTGTTATTCGTTTTGATGGTAAACATGTGGCGGTTATAAAACTTGAGAGAATTGCGTGGTACGCTCGAAATCGCGACAATGAACGACTTCACGTGACCAATTTACCGTACAGGAAAATGATCGCCGCAACGAGCACTTGGTTATCTTCCGTAATAGGGAGGTACCTCGACAACTTGATATCGCATTCGTGGATGTGCATCCACTAGTACCGTTTCTAAATTGACCGGAAGCGTATCTCCGTGGAACCGAGTGTACGTGACAGCATTGAAAGGGGTCTCGTATTAGATGTCTTGTATAACATACAATGAGAAAATCCTTGTCTACGATACTGATCCAAGTACTACACGTTTCAATACAGATGAATAATCATTGTCTATCGTTTCTAACGATCGATGAACATTTACCGATTAGAAATGTAGATCCTTCGTACTTCAGTTTTATGAATCTGAAAGATCTTTGGTTTTCAACATCAATAAAACCCGTTATTCGTGGTTTCGTTGAAATCATTAACGAGGCTCTTTTTTTGTCGAACCTCAAAAGATCCCAACATCCTTTATCTTCTTTATCGAGTCACATTAAATGTCGCAAAAAGAAAGTTAACAAAAGGTAGATCAGAGCAATCGCGGTGCCTTGATATTAATTCAATTCAATGTCCTGAATAGCCGGCCTCTTTAATCCACTTCACCCTCCATTTCCAATTAGGTAAAATCTCCTTCAGGGATTGCGGCCCGCCGATGCTTGAAAATCGAATGTTACTCAGAATCACTTAGGCTGAGAGTAGTGTAATGGCGAAAGAGTTTTTCTCTCCTTTTCTTTTACTTTCTCACTCTTAATTTATGGTAATTGTGCTAAACAAATTAGAATATATTTCTGATAATGAAGTTGAGAACAAAATCATTTATTTGATCGGTGCAGTTAATAACTCATTTTTCACGAACATAAACACCAAGGTACGTTCTATCATCTTCCAATAGTTTAAGGAGATCTCTTCTAGAACGTAATTTCTTGTCTGATATGTCTTGGCAAAGATTCGACTTTGGGGCTCTCTGAAAATCTCGAAAGAATTTTAGAAAGTTGTTGAAATGTATTACATTTTATTCCAAGGTCAATACCATTAACGGAAGAAACGTTTCAAGGAAAAAGAGAAACTACGACACTGGCAAAGGATTCAGAACTGTAATTCGAGTCGGCTCTCGTTTCCCTTCCTTCGATAGAGAGCGAGAGCTTGGATCAATCTGTCGTTGATGTCTTGGGTCACGAATCGGCGTCGAGTACCGTGGACATCCAGTTCGGATATCGGCAATCAATAACGAAATAGAGAGAACCGCTTGTCATCCAAGTCTGGACCATTCTCGTGAACGAAGCTCACAATGGTCGATACATATCGCAATGCGGAGTCCGAATCCTAAATCCTGTGGTCGTCCAAGTCGATGATCACAACCGGCTTTGAAAATGTCCGACGTTTAACAACCGACACTCTCGATACGTGTATGTCCATAATACGTAATCTGTTATCTAAAGCTTTGAAAGCCATACTTACTCACATATCAAGCTACGAATGATTACTCATGATACAAAACTAGTATATCTTTGGGGGACATGTATTACTTTATTCTCTATGTATATATGTATATATATATATATATATATATATATATATATATATTTAAGTATGTTAAGTATGTGTACTTTATACAATATGTAAACAAAAGGTGATCTCTATTAAATATTTTCGTTTGCAGGTACTTTTGCTCGCGATAAAAAATTTGTAGAAAGTGTCACGGGGAATCATAACATCAGTGGTGCTCCGAGCTTCGATTTGAATGTTCAACGGAACGTGACAACAGCTGTAGGACAAACGGCCTTTCTTCATTGTCGAGTACATCACATGGGCGACAAGGAGGTAAAAGACTTCAATTTTGACTTCTTTTTTATTTTCTTCGCCTATTAATTATCCGATACTCAAGTTGCTTTGAAGGTACAGTTAAAGGCCGCGGTTTTCAGATCCTTTTCCTTTGTACGTAATTTCTTAATAGCGTTTACCTCAAAAAACTTTGACGGCTCTAACGAGAGGTGAAGGCTTCGTGGTGTTCGCGTCACTGCATCGTTGTCTCGCGGTTTTTAGGTTAGATTCGTTAATAGAATATGCATGCGGCTTAGTTAAAGAGTTAAACGGACTTAAATCTACGATGAATTCTGCCAGGAACAAGTTTCTTAATCTTTTTTGCCATCCAGTTTTATGCATGAAACAGAAATTTTCAATCACAAGTTTGTACCGTCGCCTCATACTCTTCTTGGCTCGAATACTCGAAGAATAATAATGAAATATCAACTGCGAGTACCGTTAGAGGATGCGACGACAAAATCAGTATTCCAATGGGAACCCGTATAATACACACACATACACACACACACACACATAAACACACGCATATAAATAGCGAAGCGTGAGAAACGGAGCATTGAAATGTCTCTTCTGGATTCGAGGATGCGGAAAAACGCGTGCGACTAAATTTAAATAGTTTCGAATGGCAAATTCTAGCAGAGAAGAACATATGTATGTATCTTCCTCTTAAGAAGATTTTCTTAACTCCGACGAGTTGTCAGATTCTTCGATACTTTATATTGATATATAATATATATATATATATATATATATATGTAAAGGATATATATATATAAGATATTGTTATAAGGGAGAACATTGTCAGGTATGACTTATCCGGTAGTAAATTTAAATAATTTCGTTAATAGACCGTGATGTTTGAAAAATCGTTCGGAAAATCGTACTCGTTTTTTCGCCACTTTTCATTTTTCTTTTTTTTTTCGTCGAATAAAAACGCGTTCACAGCAGACGTAATTGTTCCGATAACCTCGTTTGCCCAATAAAAGTTGAATAATTCGTGTCTCCGGGTTTTTGAAGTTTTCGGATGTCAAAGAAACGTTCCCCGTTTTAATAGGATTTACGCAAGTGTTGATATTTTTGAATCATCGTAACGTAATTATTTTATGAATTCTTAGGAACAATATAATTAGATATTAATGGATAAATATGTCGAGGACAAATGGATAAATTGTTTATCGTTAAAAGTAAACGCAGCAAATATTCAATCACGTCGACTTAATAAATTACCAATAGTTCGAGCGTGTTTTCGTTTCGATAATCACCAGCTCGATTTGCTGCCATAGCCGGGATTTCTACAAATCGAGAACGCAATATTCGAGGAATCGATTAGCCAACCCGTTATAATGTTCTGAATGAGATTTCAACGGACTTTTCGCGAAAAGGGATTTGCGATATCAACAAGCTCGTATTGAAAGTTCGTTATAATAATCGATAGATACAAATTCTATATAGAATTGATGAGAAATATGGGAATTTAAAGGGCAGGAGAATTTCGATTTACGATTGAACGTAATTTATTTCTGGAAATATAATTTTTCATAATAATCCACTAAAAGATTATTTATATATTATATATTTTCATTGAATTTCGAAGATATCTATTTCATATTTCTACTGATTTTTTGTTTTTTCTTGCTAACTTTATAAATTATATAAACAACTAATTTTTTTGGACTATATCTAGAGATTTGCGAAAATATGTACTAATTCATTGTTTATAAAAAATTAATTAACTTCACGAAGTCTTATTTCAAATTGCCAGTGTACGAATACTTTCTACACTTATTTTATATATATATATATACATGCTTGTATGTTTTAACTAAATTACAAACGTTATGACGTAAAAAGTTCGTTTTCTATCGTTAAATTACATGATTTTCCTGTAACATCGAGTCAGGCTGGCACGGAAAAGTACTTTAGAAGCGTTCCGGAAAAGAAGTCCTGGTTTAAATCACAAAAGTTCATGTCTAGTTCCTGTGTGTGATTTCTTTACCGGCATTATTCAACGACAACAGAATTTTAATAAATTATAAGAAAGATTGTGGTTCGCTTTTTCTTGCGGTATACTTTTTTATAACCCACTTTATTACATATCAATGTTTTTTCAATGTTTGATTCAATAAATATTCGAAAAAAGAATTACTTTTCTCGTTTGAGAGTTAAAGTTTGTATAAATCTTACGATTCTCCATTTGATATGACATTGGTAAATTTTTCACTAACAAAGACTAATTAATATTGTTTATCGTTCTTGAAACATTCATTTGACGTAAATCATTCGTTCTATTCGTTATTTCATAATTTCAACACGAACAAAAATCCAAAATGCTCGATTAAATGATATCGATACCTGAATAGTTATCCTTTCTTCTTAACCGGATAGCAAAGATTTGAATATAACCGCAAAGTACTTACTTTACTTTGGTTTTATCTTACAACGATCATTTGGAATCCGTAACGAATCTGTTGACTTTGAAAAGTCAACAGACTTTGTAAAATCGTTTAGATTGGCCGATAAAATCGTACTAAATAAATTCTCTATTTCTTGTTATTCTTTTTTTTCTTTCTTTCTTCGAATCTTCGTCCGGAACATGAAATCAACTGATATTAGCATTTATTTGTGGATTCGAGATTCTAGGAACGTTTAATTTTAATCGAATTTCTTTTCACTAGTTCATGCCTGACTTTAAGCTTCGTGCCATTCATATTTCGGAAGACGTATGCTCGCCGCAGTTAGCCACTCGTGCAACTTGTAGCAGGCTATTAAGGCTCCAAGAAATATGGAGCCCCAACGGTGGCCTTTTAGGCGAACCTTTTACTTTCCCACGTCGGATAAAACTTTTTTTTCTTCTTCTTCTTCAGGCTGCAGTACGGAAACTATAGAAAGATAGATAGACAGATAGATAGATAGATAGATAGAGAGAGAGAGAGAAAGAGAGAGAAAGAGAAAGAAAGATTCTATGGAGGTATTCTTTTCGACCTTATCTCGACTTTCCTTTATCCTACTCTGCTTCTTTCTCTTTTTCTTTTTTACCGAATCGCCTATTACAAGTCTCCCAGTGAAAAAACGTTGCACCGTATAAACGTTCTTGATAAAAGAAAAGAAAGATAAGAGAGAGAGAGAGAGGGAGAGAGGAAGAGAGAGAGAGAGAAGAAAAATTCATAGTGGTCGAGTAATCTTAAAATGTGAACAAAATTTTTATGAAAAATTTCTCATAAAATGTCCATCGGACCGTTAAAACTATCTGAAGTCTTTATCGCTTCTCTACCTTACATATTGTAGAGTAAATTTCATCGTTAATGCTTGTTACATTCAAAAACACAGTTCTAATTTAAAGGTTGGTTCTACCTGTACCGCAGATAAATTGTCGTAAATTTTCCTACCAACCAGAAACAAAACGGAACGCTAAACGTTTTGAAGTGCGTCGTCCCGTTCGTATAATTACCGGTAGTAGAGCGCAGGTGCGACATTGTGGAAAATACGTGGGTGTGTGAGCGAGTGTGTTTCACGGGAACTAGATGAGATAAATTTATTACAAACGTGTTTTACAAATTGCTAACGAAAATAATTACTCATTAGAATAGTTTTTTCTTCTTTAGTTTCATTTCATTGTTTTATTTGTTATCTTTACGATGAAGTATCGACTCGACGATTATATTCTTATTCGATGCTTCCTCCTATCTTCGTTTCTATTTGTATATCTATCTTTGTTCTTCTTTTTTTTCTTTTTTGTTTTCGTACGGAAAGGAGCGCGTAATTATGAAAAGAGCGAGGAGGAAAAATAGGGTAACATTCTTGTGGCCAGCCGCAAATAAAGTTTCGCTGGAAATGCAGTTGAGAAATACAGAATGCGTTCCGATTTAGCATGGTGGTCGTTTAAAATCCAATTTGAAATAAAGTATTTGTGAGAATTATATAAATGTGTGTGTGTCTATAGATTGGTGAAACGAACGATCTACGATCTCGGCAGATTTAATTGAATATTTCGAATTTCAGATCGACCTTTGATAATCGCGATTCAATCGTGCATTCGGTAACGATTCTCTTGTTTTCTCTCTCTCTCTCTCTCTCTCTCTCTCTCTCTCTCTCTCTCTCTCTCTCTCTCTATTCTTCTTCTTTAGTTTCTCATCTCACTTCCTCTCTATGCACCGAGAATAAATTATATTCCGATATGAAAAAAGCCAGGAGGAAGACCAGTCGAGTTTAATCCGCGCAATTGCCTTCCCGATCCCACGCCATTTTGCCCGTTCGCTCGCCGGCCGTTTTCCAATTTCGTTCTCTTTTTCTTTTTATACTTATTTATTTCAGCCGTTTATAGCATCGTAATTTGTGCTACAAAAGGCGAACGTTGCGGGATGCAACGCAAGAGGAGCAACTCTGAACGGCACTGTAAACTTTGTTGCTGAGAAAAAAGTAGGATGGGCAAAGTGGAGCGAAAATGAAAAGTACCAGAGGTGGAGGTGCTGGTGTAAGAATAAATAATATCGATCGGATAGTAAATCGATCGGAACGATGTAGAACCTACAAAAAGAAAGAAAGACAGAAAGAGAGAGAGAGAGAGAGAGAGAGAGAGAGAGAGAGAGAGAAACTCGTTTGAAAGTTACATATTCGTTATATGTCTTTTTGCGATTATTTGCTTTCTTTTTTATAAATATAATACATATAGGTACTTATATATATAAGTATATATATAGGTACGTTTATATATAGGTATATATAAGTATGTATTCGTTCAATAGTTTTGTGTTATCATTTTTCTTATAATTTAGTGATAGCCGAAGCAATGAAACGAGCTTTATTTACGTCGTTAGTTTAATAACAGACGATAATAATCCATTGATCGATTCATAAAAATACTAATTAATCATTAGACTATAGTTCTATAGTCATATTGGTTACTTTAGGTACTGTTTACAGAGAGTACATATCTTCCAATGGTACATACATTGTGCATCCAGGTGTAGTTTGAAAAGCATGTAGGTCAAGCTAACAAT